GGTAGGTCCTATAACTTTGCTTCAGTTATTTTATTTTGTGGCGAGTTATCAGTATCATGAAATTACTATAAATTATACTATTATTGATATCATTATCGTAATATTTGGTTTGGATCAGTTCTAGTGAGGATGCCTCTCTCAAGTTGCTCTAACTTAGTCACCGCCTCTCTTTCTACATTCTAGATATGGATGAATGTAAATTTAACATCAGTGACTGCGACGTGAATGCAAACTGTACTAACACACATGGTTCTTACAAATGCACATGTAAAGTGGGATACATCGGCGATGGACGCTCATGTTCAGGTAGTTTTGATATTTCCATATATAACTAATTTTTGTTAATCGTTTCATAATTTTAAGCAGCGTTATCCATGTATGTTTATGCACAGAGTACCTTGTATAAAAAAGAGATGAATGTAGGCCTGAAGACAATGGCGATAATGACACCATTGTATTCAATAAACAGTCAGTGGTAAAAAATCTCAACTGGCAAAGGAGACTTGATGGATAGGCTTACAGGACAGAAAACCGGATTTGAAATTGGGGAAACTGAGAAAAAATGTGGTAAGTGGTAATGTGAAGTGCTCACGTCTAGAACCACAAGACAAAGGCTCGGCAACTTTTCTCCAATTACAATTTTTTTATGTTTATGATTTTACAGATATTGACGAGTGTAAAGGAAATCACTCTTGTCACGTGAATGCTGCATGCATGAACACCCTTGGATCACATGTATGTCAATGTCACGCTGGATATACTGGAAACGGAGCAAACTGCACAGGTAAATTTAATCTCTTCTCTACAATATGTAGAATAGTCCTGCATGACACGTTCGACTACAGTGCCGCGCCGTTCAGCTGCGTTGCAAGACAATTAGACGATTTATCACGAAGAAACTTGGTCATTTTGTCCTCACGTGTTCACCTCCTCGAGTGTTCAAGTCGCTATCTTATGAGAATATAAACTGTTATAATCTCTTGGTATCGAGTTGAACAAGATAAAAAAGAGAAGTTACATGACCGCAAGCAACCATGTACTATTTTGATTATCATATAAACACAATAGGCCTTTACTGAGAATGAAAAGTGACTTTTTAAAAGAATGATATGATAGGTTTCACAATCCGCGAAAAAAAGTCGTAAAGCGCGTCGGCGATAAGGGTCAAGATGAAAAAATGCGTTGAACCATTACAGAAACAGACAAAGGGTGTAACTTTCTTTTCACAAAATTCTCAGTTGACTTTTTCCTTACCGAAAGAAAAATATTTTCATGTAAAAGACAAAAATAGGCCTTTACTAAGAAAAAAATAGAATTTTTTAAAGAATAAAATTAGAAGTTTCACAATCCGCGAAAAAAAAGTCTACCAAGGAAGGCTAGCAAGGCTAATCTTTGACGATTGATATCCGACTACAGTTTGGAACGGTGTCTCGAGAGAGATTCCGCTGCAGTGGAAGTTTTTCAGTTTAGTCTAAATAAATAATTAATTTGTCACAATGATAAATAACTTAATGCTCTTTCACCTCATAAAAGTTTAAAAAACGAATGTATATCTCACTCGTGTAACCACTAACGTTGTATAATTTTTCTTTTCTTTCCCATTTTTTTAGATATTGATGAATGCCAAAAAAATACTCACAATTGTCACCTGAACGCTACTTGTCAAAACACAAATGGATCCTTTGTGTGCACCTGTTTATTTGGATTTAACGGAGATGGACGGAACTGCACAGGTAAAGGCCTTTAGATTGTAATTGCCTCGTTATGACTTTATTTGTTTGCTTGTGTTTTTATTTTTAACTGTTTGTTTAATTCGTACTTACCTTTTCTGTTTGTTTGTTTTGATAAAGTAGTTACCCTTGCCTTAATATTTTTGACCAAAAAAAGAAAATGATCCCAATTGAAAGCAAGAGGACGAAATGCACTCAATGCTCAAAATAAGGAGGTTTATAAATGTATCATACTCCAAGAATCGTGATTGAAAGCCTGTCATTTCTCAGATATTGACGAATGTGCAAGAAATCTTTCTTGTCATGTGAATGCTAACTGTACCAACACAATTGGATCACATGTATGTACATGCCACACTGGATACACTGGAGACGGACAAACTTGCTCAGGTGATTTTGATAACTTTCCTTCAATGTCCAGAAAAGTCCTTTATGACCGAAGAGAGGCAACCTCCATTGCTGCTCTTTCTATACATACAATCCCAGCTACTCAAAGCGGGAGGTAATCTGAAACGTCTTTTTAGCTCAAATTAAAAGGCCGGAAGTAGTCAATCATTTATCCTAAAATTCATCCCTCATTAAAAATTGTGGATTGTTTTGTTTTTTCCCATATCCTTTGAGATTAGATTTGCAGTATTTTGGATAGGTATTCATTATATCTTGATTCACCAAAACATTTTTCATCATAACATCCAACTCTGGGTTGTGACGTGGTGCACTTGATCCCCATCAGACATTGACGAGTGTTCACAGATGAACATCTGCGATGAGCACGCCTCCTGCAGTAATACCCAGGGCTCCTACAGTTGCGCCTGTAATCCTAAATACATTGGGGATGGTCTGACTTGTAAAGGTTAGTCTCTTTTAATCCATGCCTTATATATTTTTTAGAGATGGTACTGGCTGAACTCGCTGTAAATAATGTTGAGTGAATGGCTATTCTTGTTTGGCCATGTAACAAATCTTTTTAGTGCCTTTCGTTTGCTTGGAAACGTCCTTCGACAAAACATTGGGGATAAAGAAAGATAGATTTGATTTTTTACATCATATTTGTGGACTTGATGTGCATTGTTTTTGTCCACCAGGAGAGAAAATAATTTTTTCTTGATGATGCATAACTGTTCTGCAATTGAATTATATTGATGATGTCTCAATTAAACAGAATAGTCTGATTGGTTAAAATCGATGTTGACCGCAGTTACGATTTTCTCACTCTGACCTAATAAGGTGGGTGATTCCTCAAAAAAAAAAAAAAAAAGTCATCTAACAATTTTATTGGTCTGCCTTTAAATGTTTCCAACCAATGGCTGTTTCGACAAATGCAATAAGAAAGGCAGGTCACCGTGCTTGTTTGAGAGAAATGACGGGCCAAACTTTCCTCATTTATGCCTCTATCAGCAATTTTTCACGCGCGTCATTTCAAGGTACATTTTTCGGTAGCTGGAAGCAAGGGTTTTCGAAGTAAAAATGAAAAGAAAAAACTTCAAAGGTACAAAGTTTCGAGCGCGGGGAAAATTTTATATGTAATTTGCGGAAATTATTTATATATATTAGCAATTATTATTACTCAAAACGTTCCTCACGTCGTTGTTTTCAAGGTAATAATTTTCATCATCAAGTAACACGCTTTTAGCTATGTCTTTTTTTTTGCCTTCGATAATTTTCTTAATTTCTCCAAATTCTTAATTTCTACGCAAAAAATATGCAATGAAAAATAGAGGTCACCGCGCTCGTTCAAGAGCTAAAGAGCATTGTACCCGTTTGCATGGTCCATCTATTGAAAAGCAATACCGTGTTCTCGGAATGCGTGCGCTTATTTGCCTGATTACGTGATTTTTATGCGCAGTACAGGATGCCCAGTGCAATACTGAGGAATCACCTTTAGACTGATAGCAAGATTCAGTTTGTTTTGTTTATTTAAATAGTAATTAATGGAAGAATATTTGTCCAAATAAGGAAAACGTAGACAAATTTGAGTGTAGCCGACGAAACTACGAGCATAGTATGAAGTCGAAATTGAAGACTTTTGCAGACAGAAATCCAACAGCACTTAATGCAATACTAAGAGTGACTTAAACCGAAGGAAGAAGATTTTGTCAGTCACTGGAAAAGGCTCGAACAGAACTGCACTAACCAAAAAATTTACAAGGCGCGATGAGCGATTCAACTTCTCAATCATGTCTTTGGGCTGTTAAATCGGGCAAGGTTTCGTCAATTTAAAGAAAAGGTTAATTACGGTAACGCTCATTTTCAATTTAATCAAACTCCTCCTCTTGAAGTTCTTTCTTTAAGGAGTCGCATATTTCAAACACTTTCGGTATTTTCTGTCAAATTTACGAGACTTCAAAGCTGAACAGTTTCATTTACACGGTGCTGGCACTTACCGCGAGTTTCAACTTGACTTTTTACAACGCGAATTTTTGATTGGTTTATTTGTTGTCAGATGCACGATTTGATTGGCTATTAGGAAACACTGTCGTCCAAAGCAAGTGTTGAGAAAATATTTATCAGTCATGATATAAACAAACAACATTTACCTTCCTCTGTAACGTTATTGGAGAGATATGCTTATAATATATAGGGCACTTTTTCCCGTGTTTACATTTTCTCATTTAAACACTCGAGGCTAGGAAATTTCTTGAAAGTTATGCAAACCCTTGACTGCGTATCGGGTTCGCATAACTTTCCCAAATTCTCCTAACCTCCTCTCGTGTTTAGATGAGAGTTTGTAAACACGGAAAAAAGGTTCTCTATTGCTTAAGCAGTAATCGGCTCTCAACGAAGTTGTAATTGCATATCTGCTCAGTTTGAAGAAAAACCAGTTACTTCAGTACAATTCCATTACGACACAGAAAACTTTTTCACGGTCAAATAATTCTAGCCCTGGGAAATTTTTACGGGAGCACCTATTAACAATTTTGATGGCTTTACATTCATCAACAACCTTTTTTGTGGTAGGCAGTCGATGATTGCAGGGCTGTATGAAAAGCGATCACCGAACGATCGCGCCACAGTCATGCATTGAAATTAGTTGAGTATGGTAACTTTTAAAGGATTTTGTATTGAGGCTGTATGACAAACTCGGCTATTTTGTACTCATTCAATAAATAGAGAATAATACTTGGGTGCGCTTTGATTTGGAATTTCTCTTCGAATGTTCAACTTGTTATCTCGTGAGTGAGAGCAGCGAACGAGTAAAATATCGAGCAAGAGAATATAAACTGTTATAATCTCTTGGTATCGAGATAAACACGAGAAGAGAAGTTCCATATCTGCAAGCGACCATCTATTATTTTGTTTATCATGTAAACACAATAGGCCTTTACTGGGAAGAAAAGTCGTCTTTTTTAAAATATGAAATTATAGGTTTCACAATCCGCAAAAAAAGTCGTATAGCGCGTCGGCGATAAGGCTCAAGATGAAAAAATGCGTTGAACCATTACAGAAACAGACAATGGGCGTAGCTTTCTTTTCACAAAATTCTCAGTTATTGACTTTTTCCTTACCGACAAAAGAAATATTTTCATGTACACGGCCGAAATCGGCCTGCGGCAAATCTTCCAGTTGTCGATTTTCGTTCTCAGCCACGAGAAATACCATTACCCAGGTCAAGGACCTAACTTTAGGTTTATTTTTTCGTATTTGTTTTACTTTCCCTTCTAGGAAATTTTGAGGTTAGAAATACGAATTTTTCTCTTTTTTTTTTAGCTGCCATAATTCGAGAAAATCTCGACATGCGACCCTGGATTGAGAACGGTCATCGCTTTGCCATTCATTTATTAACCTGACACAGCTGATTAGTGATATCAAACACATGTAAAAAATTATCGTAATATTACACGCGCGTTTAACAAGGATTTCCTGGCTCTTCTCTGGGCGGGAAATCGTTTCAAACCACCGCACGTTATATAATAGCTTTTTTTTCTTAAGCTTTCTTACAACGTAACATATAAAACATCACATTAACCGAAATTCAACTTTTTAGCCGATCCGTGCTATGATTACAGAAACCTGAGCGATGCTGACAGAAAGAGCACTTACAACACACCCTACGGTGGAGAAAAATGTGACGACGAATCCTCATCCTTAATATTCGGGAAATGGTATCGTTTCGTGGGAGATGCAGGAACAAAAATGCCAACCCAGTGCGTACCGGGTAATAGATGTGGTGCGCTCTTATCAGGCTGGCTAAAAGGTGGTCACCCCACATTGGCAGATGGTGAGGTTTCCTCCGAGGTCTGCTTTACCAGAGGTGGAGACTGTTGCAAGAAATCAATAAACATTAAAGTGAAAGACTGCGGATCCTACTTTATTTACAAACTACTAAAGGTACCCAGTTGTGATCTGCGCTACTGTGGCACAGACTAAGTGCTATAAGCAAGTCACTCTGCACAGTGAAAGGATTCACAAATCGATTTATTGGTAAATGTAAATTAATGTATAACAAGGAATGTAAGAATTTCACGTGATCCCCTTTTCATGATTAGTGTTAAACAGTGAGAAGTTTGAACACAAGAGTACCACTGGACCGCGACGTTTGATCCTCCAAGTAAGAGTACTCCTGAGACGATGTGACTGAAGGTAGTCAGCAATAATGACTGACGTTTCTATAACCTTGGCGGAGTCTTTGACTTATCGTTCATGTGACATCAAAAATTTTTCAACAATTATCTTAGAGTTTTGATAAGTAAGTTTAGGCTGGACGGTCTCAAGTCTATTTGACCATGTAACCTTTATATCTGAAAAAAACTGAAAATAACGAATATGAAATCGAATGTGAGTCTGACTTAGTTGAACTGTAATGATTTTATATCAGCTCGGACGAAATGAAATTATAACTCACCTTCTTCACCTGCAACTTTAATTATCAATAAAGACAACAGAGCGACCAAGAAGCAAACTTTTCTGGAAAAGCCATGGTAAAGACTAAATTGAGTCGCTATGTAGGATCATCGCTTGTGACCTCTCAAAAGATTTGATGTTTGTTTACTTCTTCTGTATGCAGAGATTTCTAATCTTACAATAGGGAGATGTGGATTTTCTTTGCGACTTTGTGCCTTGCAGGGCCTGTGATTGGCTCAGAATTTAGCTTAGGCGGCATTCGGTCTGATTAAGGTAAATAAAACTCATTGAAAATGTTGATTGAACAGCATGCGAAATATTCCGCTAATGAGATAACTGTAAACAGTGTTATAATTGCGCTTCTAGGTTTTGAAAATTATTTGACCACATGATGATCGACTAAAGGAACAGGTTTTATTGTTTTTCCTAGAAGATCAAAATATAATTCTTTACCCTTCCTTTGCCGTCACTGAAGCCAGTAGACATGGAATAAAGGATGTGGCTTGGACTAATTAATGAGGTGTCTGAAAAAGGAACAGGTTCAAAGCTTGTTCTCCGCACGTCAAGTTTAAATCGAGAAAAAACTCCCTACTTTTGTTGATGCTCTGTTACCAAGATGAGAAAATCATTTTATTTGTGGATACATGTATTCTCATTATCTGTTTCCTGGACAATGAATGGAATTTGTAGGGAGAAGTGACAGGTTAATCGCCTTTGGGAGTCAAAGGGTTAACCAGCCGGGGTTGGCTTTACCACATTTATAACTATCCACGCAGGTTGTTGGAGTTCTAGTTCCTCCAAATCTCCTCAAAATACAAAATCTTTGAAGTATTATTCTATCTTTCGGTAGAACTGCCCAGATATTCGGTCTTCCAACAATAGAAACTACTGCTCTTAGTTGACTGAGTCCTTAAATTATAATCATTTACAACGTATTTCAAAACATTCTGGAATTCGAAGCTTACAACACAACTATTGTGGTAGAAATAGTTCATAATTACATAGACTAATAGAATGTTCTAGTTTTCCTTGCTATGTCATCAGAAATTTTGAGTATCAATGTCATAGTGACTAAGAATTCTAGAAATTATTTACAGTCCCTATCCATAACACACCTAACACGATTTAAAAATCCTTGTAAATGATGATGCTAATGAAATCGTGACTTAACATGGTAAACAACTTGCATATAATCACGGACCGCCGTGACCCATCGAGAATAGCAACTACATGTAGAGAAGGCGTGGGTATCAAGAGCTGCTTTAGTTTCCGCTAACGACCTGAATAAACATCAAGAGTTCAAAACGTTTTGTAATAGGCAAAATACAATGCTCAAAGTTGTGCTTAAAACTTACTCAGTGAAGCACTTCGATTGGAATAGATAAAGATGATATTAAGATTATTTGGAAGCTCACTAATGCCCATAGTTGTTCTGATACTCGGAAAAACAACAATTGTTGAGTCGACTCTGATGACTCTCTTCTTCTTCTTCTCTTTACGCTAATCACCCTGAGGGAGTTTCTCTCTCTACGAGTAGTTAAGAAAAAGCTTAAAGTTGAGAGCAAGTGTGGACTTTATGTCTCATCCGCATGAATCGAACTAACTGGTAAGATCACCAAATAATAATAATAATAATAACAGTTTATTAAACTCTCTTGCAGTAACTTACTGAATTAACGCGTTATAATACAATGAAAACTTAATGAGATCAACTATGTACATGTCTGTATATGTTAAGTACAAATTATATGCACCACACCAGAACATGTATCACATTTGTTAGAAATACTTAAAAATACTTAAAAGTGAAAAAGTCTTCGGTGCGCTTTGTTCTACAGGTAGTAACGTTTCTGTAAAAGTACCGCTGGTCTGATTTGTGCCTTAGGGTGTAGGGACAGGTACTGTCTAGGCGTGTTGTTAGAAGAGGATGAAGAGGGTGGTTTAAGTCCTTCATTTTGTACATATACTCTTTACATATCTTATCTCTTCTATACGCAAGAGTCTTCACTCGTGCTAACTCGAGGGCATCTAAGTAGCTATCAGCACACGGGAAAATATCTTAAGCGCCCTTTTCTGTATGGATTCAATTATGTCAGGCAGATAACCTGAAATGGATTGCCACAACGGCACCGTGTACACTAGAAGAGATCTAACAGAACTTGTATATACCTTTAACATGCTACCTTGGTCAACGCCGGCTCGACATAGAATATATAGGGAGTAGAGCTTCTTGCAAGCTTTTTTATATATGTAGTCAACATGACTATTCCACCCTAAGGTCGCTATCGATAAATACTCTTAGAATCTTGTAAGTCGATACACGTTCTATACAGTTGTTACCAACAACTAATGGTCTGAGAGTAAAGTTAGGATATGACATAAAGTTAATTAACATCTCTTTACATTTAATAGAGTTTAGACTCATGTTGGGATCCATAGAGAATTTGTGAATGTCAGATACAATCGAATTGAGCAGACTGATAGAGTTCCTGGGTAGTATTTCTGTGGCAGACATATCATCCACAAACTTGACTCTCAAATGCCAATCAGCTGAAAGATTGTTTGTCATTATTGTGAAAAGTATCACTCCTAGTTTTGTTCCCTGAGGCATACTCTCTGCCTGCTCTCTGTCTGTTAGGAACGCCGCAATCCAACTGATGAGCGCGGGATCAACCTCTAGTTTTCGCAACTCAGTCATTAAGATGTTATGGTCAATTAGATCAAAGCCTTTCGAGAAGTCAGCGAAGAAGACCCGGGCTCCTAGATGAGCACAATCTACTTCCTCGTAAATGGCTTGTAACATGAATAGAAGAGCATCTGTTGTCGAGTGGCCTCTACGCGCAAACTGTCGCGGGTCGATTTTTCCATGTAATTGTGGCAGTAGTTTATTGCGCGTGAATCTCTCCATGACTTTAGCCAGTGTACACGTGAGTGATATCGGGCGGAGTTCGCTCTTTATTTCTCTTGGTGGGTTTACCTTCGGGATTGGGATGATGATGGAAGATTATAGAGGTGATGGGATGTATCCCTCCTTAAGAGACTGGTTATAAATGTTTCGGAACTAGCTCGTGTACAAAGTTCTTAAACAGTTTATTTGGGATGTTGTCGGGTCCTACAGCTTTCGCAACGTTAAACGTCAGGGATCGGAACACTTCCTCGTTGGAGACCAAAAGTTCCTGTGGTACTAGGCTTGGGGGAGAATCACCGGTCAAAGGTGTAAATTGGTCTGTAAGACTTACAAAAAGTCATTAATCTTATTTGCAAGTAATTTGGTATTCATGGTATCCCCAAGAAATTGATGGTATCACTCCTGCTAAGTGTCTTGGCATGGAGTGACTTTACTTGCCTCCACCACTTACTGGAATTAGTGGATTCCACTTGAGCAACTTTATCATGACAGTAGTGATTTTTAGCTTTTTTGACCTCGCCCTGGACCTTGTTCCTCCAAAATTTGTAATTCGAAGAGTCCCTTCCATGTCTGAGAAATGCAGATTGTCTTTTGCGAATCCAAGATTTCAGTTTTTTAGAGATCCAGGGACGGTCAGTTGTGTGTTTCTTAACTACTTTTCGTGGAAGGAAGGAATCAATAGCAGAAGTAAGTTCCATCATCAACAGCCTGAACTTGACTTCACAAGACTCAGTATTAAGAACCGAGTACCAATCCTTCTCGGTCATCCATCGCCCCAGCGCACGCCATGCACTGTCGCGCATATCGCGTGACTCTATTTTCTTAATGACCGGTTTGTGTTCGGATGATATCATTGGTCTGGCCAAGATGGTATAATGATCAGATGAAGCGACTTTGGGCAATTGCGATAATCAAGGATATTAAAAAGCCTCCTCAGTCAAAACAAAAAAATTCAGAGATTTTAACTCAGACTGGCTTCTTATGATAAAAATCAATGCTGGAATGTTGCCTCTTCCAAACTGGGCCATTGCCCGATTATACGAAGTTACCGGTATGCTAAGAATTCCAAATCGATTTGTCAAAGAAACAGAGATATGTGTCTTCAAAGATGCACATCAGCAAAATCGAATTCAAAATATATTATATTCAATATCAGATAAATATAGAGTCGTAGAATGCCCTAGACGCATTAGAAATTGTTTCAACTTCAAATATTTCTCATTTCCAATGAAATACACGATTCAGTTTGTTGTGCTCCAATTTTCTTAGTTGGAGACTATATCCATACTGCTATAGTGTTGTTCGTAAATTGAATTTCTAATTGTAACAGGACCGAGTGGAGTCTAATTTCGCTCTTTCATGAGTATGATTAAAGACCGAATTGGACAACGCGAAGTCCCGTTACCAATTAATCATAACCATTACAATTTAAGAAAATACATATGTATGTATATTTGCTCTATTTTCGGTAGAGACACTGCTTTGTAGGGTGTTAAGGATATCGAACAAAAGAACAGCCTTTTTTTTTTGATTAGATCAATTGTCAATTACTTTAATTTGTGTGCCTAGTTACGATCGTAGTTACAATGTTTATCTTTTTCCCTATTGGTTTGTAATCGGATCTTTTAGCGTCACCACGCGCATATAAAAGCTAAATTAGCGTCCCTATAAGCCAGAGTTTCGCAAGATTTCGCCTTGAACAGCAATAACTTCGTTCTTTCGTTCCAAACCTTTGGCACAAGCGGGACCGATATGTAAGTGATTTTGTTAGTTTTATTTCAATATGTTTAAGTTTAGTTTTTCACCTTGGGCGATAGCGCACATATGTACTGTGTTGTACAACAGTACAACTAATTATTTTGAAATAACTAGACGCTCACACAGTAACGCCCACATTTTAGTCTTTGGGCTGTTAATCAGCCGCAAATGGTCATCGTGTAGCCGATCTTTGAATCTCGAGTAGTTTTAATTTAGCCTTTTATGATTTGTTTATGTTAATTCACGTTAATTGTCGTTATTTTAATCGCGTTATCGACATAAGCACGTAAAGCGTTTCTTTCATGCCTTTCGCACCAATTCAATTAGATTCATGGGATCAATATTTGTTTCTGGGCAACCGAGCTCGAAATAGGTGACTCGAGCTCGAAAGCCTATCCGAGCTCGATTCACAACTCGACTAGAAGGATCCTGAGCAACCGAGCTCGATATAAGTGACTCGAGCTCGAAAGCCTACCCGAGCTCGAGTCACAATTGTAATCAGCTCGAATCAAATCGAGTTCGATTTGGTAATCGCGCTCGAATCAAATCGCGCTCGTGTCCGACCGAGCTGAATAATATTTGTTCCTGGGCAACCGAGCTCGATATAGATTTTTCTGGCAGGGGGAGGGAGGAGGGGGAAGTGCAGATCATGCTCGATATAAGGGGAAGAGATAATATTAAAAACTATGGTGAAGAGAAAAATTTAAAAAAATATTAGGTTTTTCCTGTCTCATGTTTTTTCTTAAGTTTAAAACAGCATTTGGACAGAGAACATTCATGCATTCGTTATAATATTATTGTAATTTCAGTTTACGATCGTGATCGTGACCGTGATCTAAATAAACACCGTTGATAGTCATCTTGGCTTTCGTGGTTTCACTACGACCGGTAAAATAGTTTCAGCGTAGAAAACACGCATAGACACCCCTGTTTCCTCTTTGTAGGGTAAGTGGTTGTTGCTAGGTTATTGTAATAATCAACTCTGTAAATGGGGGATTTGGCAGAGTGGACTTAATATGTTTGGCCGCTTTAACTGTCCGATTACAGGTGTCCAATTACGGTCGACTGTCCGATTACAACTCTACAGATTAATTAGTGCTACAATAAAGCGGCTAACAGGACATTGAGGACATTGTAATGGTTATGACTGGTCTTGGAGGAGAGAGAGGCGAAACTGTTATGTTTTGTTACTTATACAACTCGTAAGTTTCATTACTCTATTAGCTTTGCTTGGTCCCTAAAAAACGCAACTGGTTCTTTGCCTGTCTATACTACACCATAAATGGTGCTAATCAAATCTGATTTAATTTCCCAAAGATTTCTGCAAAATGGAATTTACATCTTCTCTTGCTTTCCCTGGCAAACGGCTCATAAACCACCTGATACGAACCGTAGAATCCCCTGTGCAAGACTTCTGCTCAGCTCTATGCTACGTGGAACCCAACTGCGTCAGCTATAACGGATTAGTGACCAGCGGATCTCCAGTAATCACAAAATGCGAACTGAATAATTCCACACACAATGAACATCCTCAGGATCTCAAGTCCTGGACAAACTACAAATATAAAGCAACAATGGTGAGTACTTCCTAATCCTATTTGTGCTTTTCGTTTATCCTTGGTTTGGTGATTTCTGATGGTTGGTTGGTATCCTACCATGGCCACGCGAATAACATTACTGGTCACTTGGTAGATAAGTATATAAAGCTGGCTCAACCTCGGATTGTTTAGCTTGTAAATGTTTCGATGGTAAGTTGTTTCGCAGCCATGTTGTTTGGCTGGTTGCGCAAGGTTTGTTTGCAGTTGGTTTTATGGTTGATTGGTTGCCTGGACGGTTAAATGGTTGGTTGAAACTTTCATTTCAAAGTATCATTACCACTTACCGCTTCAATTGGCATGTATCTGCTTTAAACCTCGTTTTCACATTAAAACACTTGTGGACAGAATCCATGCCAACAGTGTGGCACCTGTCAGACAGGATTTACAAACAAAGGTTACAAATGCCTTTGCCCACCTGAATACAGGGGCACCAATTGTGAGGAAAGAAATGGTAGGTAAAAAAACATTTTTCATTTGGTGAAATATTTTTATGAAAATCTCTACCTCACCCTTTAAGTTATCTATCGATGAATCCAACTGTCAGTCCTATTCAGCCACCCTTTCGTCCGTCTACTTCTCCAGATGTCTGAATCCCCTTTTGTCCCTCCTGCTTTCCTATCCATCTGTCTGACTAAGCGGCTGGCTGTCTAGCCGTTTATTCTTTTACCCAACTCACATTCGTTTGCTTAAAATCAGTTCACCACATATGTGCTGGTTCTTTTCCCAACAGTAAGATGGATACAGATGACGCCATTTACAGTTTGCTTTGGAGCAAGAGATGATTCGTATGGTGTCTTTAGAACTCCCAAAGTGGGTAACATCATTACATTCAAATTAACGTACAAATCTGGTTACGTGACTTGTCATCCATCTAACCCAGGCTGCCTTTGGAACCGTCTCATTCCCAACCAAATGGCCACGTTGATAACTGACAAAAACCGTAATCTTCTTCCCCCAAAGAGTGATTTCCTATCAGATTATCGGGACTGCAAGTTTTACATCCTGCCTTGGGCCACAACCGAATCGCCACGACTGCTCTTTGATAATTTCTTTACCCCGCTGACGGTGGTGACGAACCGAGAATTCCAAAGCTGGTACAGCGAGGACCTGTTCAAATGGGGTTATGGCGATAATGGGTACGAAAAAACGTGTGTTGCAGTGTATGGTTTGTATGTTTGAGCTGCCGCCAAAATTTTGAAAGTACATTGAAGAAGAGATTGCCAAAATTGTTGTTCATGGGTCTTTATTACTTCAATATTAGATAGCTGGAACTCACTGCTATATGGTCTACCTCAGCAAGATTACAACCCGTTTAAAATACCGCAGCTCGAATTGTTACACGTACTAGGAAATTTGATCGCATGACCCCTATCCTAGAAGAGCTCCACTGGCTTCCTGTCCGTAACTGTATGGTTAATACAATTCTTTCACTGGTCTACAAAGCTGTCAGTGGAGCAGTGCCTTGCAACATCAGTGACTCACTTGACTATCGCACCTCTAAACGGACACTAAGGTCCTCTTTGTAGCAAAACGTCTATCACATATCAATTTCAGATAGTGCACGGTTTTCGTTCACCGCTTCGCATATGTTGCAATCAATTCGTTTTTCTTTTTTTTCAGGTACGGTAGTAGATGACAGAGCAG